ACACACTTAGCCAATTTTGGGAGAGAGTAGTGGATTGTATCCATAGGATTGTGCAGCCAGAGCTAAAATTCAGACAGGATAATATGGTCTTGAACGCACGCCTAATTTATGGACACGTTATCGAAGCTGCAGCACTGGAAAAAATAAATGTAATAAATAAAAATAAATAAATGTTTCACTCAGTGGACTGAAAACTTGATTGCACTTCCCAACAATGAGTGGATTGTGTATAGGTGGTCCTCATCTTACGACCCGGAATTTCTGTTACTGAGACGGTTGCGCGTTTCACCCCCTTTTACGACCTGCCTTGCCACGGTCGCTAAGCAGATCGCGGCAGTTGCTTTAAGTCAGTAACACTATTGTTAAGTGACTCCACTGAGGTCATAAAAGGGGATCACGTGACGCTGCGGCCGTCATAAATACGAGTCAGTTGCCAAGTGTCCGAATTTTGATCACGTGACCATGGGGGGGGGATGCTACAAAGGTTGTAAGGGTGAAAAATGGTTATAAGTCCCTTTTTTTCAGCGCCGTTGTAACTTGGAACGGTCACTAATGCGAACTGCTGTCAGTCAAGGACTATCTGTATATACATCTTGAACAATATTTGCATTAAAGAAGCATATATATATATATATATATAGAATTGCACACATTTATTGCTATAATGACGTATCATGGTACGTTTCTTTTGTCGTCCTATTTTGGCAGGTTTTTTTGTGTTGAGCGCCCTTCGTGCGTTCTTTTTTTCCCCTTCTTTTGGACGACGTCCCTATCATGATCACAATTATTTTTATGTGGGGTTTTTTTTCCCCTTGCGACTGATTTTTTTAAAAAGCAGCAAAAGTAATTAAATGAGTTGGGGTCTTTCTTTGCTTTAGAAGGATGCAGCCAGTTTCATGGGATTTTCCCCTAAAGCGTGAAGGAAGCTGGATCGCCAAGCTTTAAGCTTGTGTTTGTGTGTGTGTGTGTGTGTGTGTGTGTGTGTTTCATAGGTTATCACTCCTGTGATGAACACATACTGCTAAAATTTGAAGTCAGCATCTCCTCTCAAGACACCCCAGGACCCTCTCCCTTCCCCCCATCAACGTTAAGAGGCCCCCAATGTTCTCGTGTTGGAACACCAATTCATTCGTTCATTCATTCATTCCATTTCTATAACTGGGCAGCTGACAGTTCCAACCCTGAGGCGGGCAGGCACTTGGCTGTGTCCCCTGAATCCCTCCTGGATGAGGGGGCTTTGATGAGACGCTGGTTTCTTCCCTGGCTTCGCAGCCCATCATCCCCAGCCGGTGGGGACATCAGCTAGAATTCCGGGCAGGGTAGTAACAGCAAGAGGCATTTCTGGGACTCTGATGGGACTCCCACCAGGCTTCTTGAGGGAGGGAGGGAGGGGAAGGGAAGGGAAGGGAGGGGAGGGGAGGGGAGGGGAGGG